TGGACTCTCCATTCTGTTATACTTGCTGTATATTATTATAGTCAGCTAACCATTATAAAGAGATTTCCTGGGGCTGGCGAGATAGCTCAATGGTCTAAAGCACCTACTTAGGCAAGCTTAGGCAAAGCTCAGGGACCAGAATTCGATCCCCCAGCACCACAAGCCAGCCAGCCCCACCCCCAGGGCTGAGCTGGCCACAAAATAAATAAATAAAATAAAATAAAATAAATTTAAAAGAAAGAAAGAGATTTCCTTCAGTACTTAATATCAAAAACATGTCCTAGAATTTGTAGATGGGCTCTTTGTAGGTTATCAGAGTACACTTCTCCACTCAGCCAGGCAGCCTACAACCGTGCCTCGGTCCTCACTTCTGTGTACAGAGACTCAAGGGAAGGTCTCTCTTTTCAGTCCTCTCCAGGGTGAGCATGCTACCTTGGGCATAGACACAAGCTTCTAGATAGCCAAGAATGTGCCAGAACTTCTCACAGTCTTATTCTTCAAAAGGTCCCATCCCCCAGCTTCTCCTTACAAGGATCTTGATTTCTTTCTTGTCCGCTGTGTTACCAGCAGCTTTCTGCTGTTTCAGCATTGGCAAAGTTCCAAGTTAGGTGAGATGAGGTGAAATTTCTATGCTGGATTTCCAGGGAGCCACAGGACAGGTCAAAATGGAGGCTACAAGCTGCTGGGGTGGTGCATGCCAACACAGTGTAATCCTAACACTTGGGAGGGAGGCTGAGGCAGGAGGATTGTTGCAAGCTCGAGACCAGCCTGGGCTACACAGTGAGCTCAAGGCCAGCCTGAACTGCATAGTGAGACCCTGTTTCACAAAGACAAAAACAAACAACAGAGGTTACAATCATTTGTGTTCTCATTCTTCCTTTTCTAGGACAAGGTTTGATCCTAAGAATGCAGGCTGTTGTTTTTCAGATACCGATGATTTGGAGAATATGGGAGGAGGTTAAAGTGCATTACAATGCTATGAAGGAACTGGGTGTGATGGGCACACCTGTGAGCCCAGCATTCAGGAAAGTTGAGGTGTGAGGATGGCAAGTCTGAGCCCAGCCTGGGCAATCTGGTTAATTAACAAGACTCTGACTCAAAAATAAAAGATATGGGTCTGGGGAGATGGCTCAGTGGAATATGCGCTTCCCTGGCAAGCGCAAGGGCCTGAGTTCAATCCCCGGTTCTGCAAAAAAAAAAAAAAAAGATAAAAAAGAGCTGGTGATACAGTTCAGTGCCAAGGCCCTGGATTCAATCCTTGTACTGAAATAAAACATAACAAGACAATTTTTAGGGTCTAGGTGTACAGCTCAGTGGTATGTCATATCTTTAGTATGAGCAAGGCCCTGGATTAAGTCTCCAGCATGAGAGAGAGGGGAGGGAAGGGAAAGGAAGAGGAGAGGAAAGAAGAGGAAAGTTTCATTGTGATCTCTAGTGTTCTTTAAATCTTATTTATTTATTTATTTATTTTGTGTGTGTGTGGCCAGTTCAGCCCACCAGAGGGCGGGGCTGGCTGGCATGTGGTGCTGGGGATTGAACCGTGGTCCCTGTGCTTTTGCTTAGCTTAGCTTGTTCTAAGTAGGTGCTTTAGACCACTGAGCCATCTCACCAGCCCCATCTAGTGTTCTTAAGATCACAAGTTCCTACACCTTTGTGTAGAAAAGAATTCAGTCTTGCCAAAGGGAGGTCTGGCCCTTGCCTTCGGCTTCTGGAAGACAATCTCTACAGTCTTTGGAATGTCATGCTTACTATGAGCATCTTCATTTGCCTGGGGAGCTTGGGTCCACCAGATACTAACGATGTAGCTTTGGGTTATGAGGTATCAGCTTGACCTCTTGAGATCCAAATCATCTGCATGGGCAAGCAACCAAGTCTATGTGATGGACCTTCAATGAGGGCACTGGGTACCACATCTCTGAGAGTGCTCCTGGTTGGCAGTGTGATGTGCATGTTGTCACATGTTGGTTCTGAGAGGGTGATGTGGTCTTGGTTCCATGGAAGATGACAACTGAGAAGATCTGTGTTTGGAACCCTTTTGGCATCTGCTCTATTGATTTCCTCTTTTGGCTGACTTTAACCTAAATTCTTGAGGTGTCATAAACCAGGACTATGTATTTAAAAGCTTAGAGCAGGGCTGGTGAGATAGCTCAGAAGACTAAACACCTGCTTAGGCAAGTGCAGGGACCAGGGTTTAATCCTGTGCTGGCCCTGCAACCGGGTGCACTGAACCAGCCACCATGACCCAGTGTGGTGGCATACACTTGTAATCCCAGTGCTGGGAAAGCTGAAAACAGGAGAATCACTATGAGTGTGAGCTGCTTAGTGAGACCATATACCAAATACATTAAAA